TTACTGCCCACACCGGCACCGTCCGTGCACCCAAATTACTGCCCACACCGGCACCGTCCGTGCTCCCAAATTACTGCCCACGCCGGCACCGTCTGTGCTCCCAAATTACTGCCCACACCGGCACCGTCCGTGCACCCAAATTACTCCCACACCGGCACCGTCTGTGTACCCGCACTGCTGCCCACACCTACACCAGCCGTGTACCCAAATTACTGCCCAGACCGGCACCGTCTGTGTACCCGCACTGCTGCCCACACCGGCACCGTCCATGCATCCGCACTGCTGCCCACACCAGCACCAGCCAGGTACCCGCACTGCTGCACCCAACACCACACAAACACAAGTAGCTGGATACCCTCTCCGCCACCCAGCCCCACCCTCCCGCCCAGCCCCGGCGCATCACTAACAGAGGCCTCGGTGCTGTGACCCAGCAGTACGGAGGAGGTGCTGTCCCTGGAGGAGAAAGACCTGAGGGACCGGGAGAGGCGTATGGCCAATAACGCGCGGGAGCGGGTGCGCGTGCGGGATATTAACGAGGCCTTCCGGGAGCTGGGGCGCATGTGCCAGATGCACCTCAAGTCGGACAAAGCGCAGACCAAGCTGCTCATCCTGCAGCAGGCCGTGCAGGTCATCCTGGGGCTGGAGCAGCAGGTGCGAGGTAGGCTCCCCGGCCAGGGCGGCCCCGGCACCCTCCCCTTCCCTCACCCTGGTGCAGATGCTGGGGTCCTCCTGTGCTCGCTGGCCCTGCACTCTCCACGTCTCTCTCTCCGTGGCTGGCCTCAGACCCTGTGACCTTCCCTGGACACTCTCTGATACCCAGTCTCTTCTTTACAACCCCCCCACCCCACCCCCTCAGCCTTCTCAAGGAAGGAGGTGAGAGCTGGAGATACAGGTGGCCATGCGTGACGGGCCCGGCACCCACCCCCACCCCCCCGACAACCTGTACCCCACTCTCCCCACCACTCCTCCTCCCAGGGACCCTCTCCCACAGAGCTCTCCCCCTATCCCCAGAGCGGAACCTGAACCCCAAAGCTGCCTGTTTGAAACGGCGAGAAGAGGAGAAGGTGTCGGGTGTGGTCGGAGACCCCCAGATGGTGCTTTCCACGGCCCACCCAGGCCTGAGTGAGACCCACAACCCCACCGGGCACATGTGAAAGGTACGCCTCCGTGGGACAAGCCACCCACCCTCGGCCCCATGCGCCGGGCCCAGGACAGCCACCCGAGGCCCCGGGGCTCATCCACATCCACACCTCACATGCCTTTTGTCAGCATCGAGCCGGCGCTGACCTGATGAGTTTCGGAGTGAAGGGGGTGACCAAGGCGACGCCAGGTCCGGGAGTTCCTGGGACCCCCTCACTGGCTTCAATCCCCCTGCCCCCAAATCTCAGCCACCATGTCACCCCGTCATCTGCCCCAGGGATCCTGAAACTGCGTCTTGACCCGTTGCCTGGGCTGACGGGAACATTTTTTTTTGTTTTTTTGCTGTAAACAAAACCTGAAAGCAAGCAACAAGACATACACTTTGTCAGAAAAGAAAAAATGCCTTAACTATGAAATGTGGAGAAACGGAAACATATCACTTGAGGGAGATGCTGTGGAAACCTGGCTTACTCTTCAGAAGCCACCAGCAAATTGTGCCTACGCGTACTATTTTTTTTAAGGAAAATAAAAACATTAGTTACAAGATTTTTTTTTTCTTAATAGAGATGAAAATGAGCAAGGATGCTGCGTTTGGTCTCTGGTTTTTTTTAAGCTTTTTTTTGCATATGTTTTGTAAGCAACACTTTTTTTGTATAAAAGTTCCGTGTCTCGCTACTTCTGCTGCTGTTACTAGACTGAGCATTGCATTTCCTGGTCAACCCGATGATTAAACGTTGTATTAAGAAGACCCCGTGACACCCTGAGCCCCCCAGCCCCTGCCCCTGAAGGCAGCACAAGCAGACGGAGTGGGGCAGGCGGCCGGGCTTCTGCCTGCTTCACGTTGGAGGTTCCCCTCTGGGACGCCTGGGCATTCCCCAGTGAAGGCTTCTTGGGGCTGCCCTGCCCCACCCTCTCCCCTCAGGAAGGGGCAGATCTGGGCCTAGGGGAAGGAACGTCGGCAAGGTGGCTCTGACCCTCCCAGGTGACTGCCAAGCAGCTCCGACCCCCGGGGCTGCCCTAAGCAACGTCCTCCCCAGGCCCCCATAAGCTGCTCTCCCTTGGAACCTGCACACCTCTCTGAAATGGGGCATTTTGTTGAGACCAGCGACCCCTGGCACAGGGCGACACCCTGGAGCCCGGTGCTGGGGCCTCCCAGACCACCCCGTCCTCCGCTCCTTTGCCACAAAGACCCAAGCCCATGCTCCGGACTTTGGCTGAGGGGATGCAGGTTTGGGCCAGCACAGGACACCCCTACCCCAGCATGTCCCTGTCACAGCGGAGGGCCATTGTGGCATGGACAGGATGCATCCTGGTGGCATCCCCAACGCTGGGAAGCATCCCTGGGCCGGGGCCACCCCTGCTACCCTCCCACTGTGGGACCCAAGGGCAGGAGCGGCTGGAGCGGGAGACAGTGCTGGTCCCTGAGCCCCACGAAGGCCCTGGGCTGTGTGTCTGACTGCCACAGAACCAGCCGGGCGGCCCATCTGTGTCCTGGGCCCCATGTCCCAGCACCCAGGCCTCTCTCCAGTCCCCTCTGCTGGCCTCTTGCCATGAGGGTAACCAGCTCTTCCCAGCAGACTGCCCTGGGATCTCCTCCAGCTCCACACAGACCACAGGGACGGTCACTGGCACCACGCATGGGCCCAGCCTGCCCTTCCCCTCCCCACGTTGAGGCCTTGTGGATCCCAGGCTGACTACCCACCCTAGCAGCAGTTCGGACATCTCCCCAAGTGCCACCCCGAGACTCCCACCACCATCCCCAAGAAACCCTGGGCTGCCTGCCTCCCCTCCCCAGACTGGCTGGGGAGCCTGGGCCCCATGGCAGATTCAAGGGGAACCCCAAGGCCCAGGATCTGGCCCAGCCTAGGCCGGGTGGAGGGGAGGGGCTGTCCAGCAGCGTCTCCTTCCTCCGTGGCGTCCCCAGCCCTGGGGACGGGGTCTTTTAGGGAACCTGCCTCTTTCCCACTCTTGTTTTGCCTCTGGTCCCTGCCCCCAGGTCTGGGTGGGCAGCGCCCCGTAGCCTCTGGAACTGTGTGCTGCATAGAATTTAAATGAGATTCACCCAGCACGAGGAGGAAGAAAAGCAGCAGTTCATGGGGGAAACCACAGTTAACGGGGCGGGGGGGGGGTGTGTGGTCTGAGTGCCTCAAGATGGTTTTCAAAAAATAATGTTTTTTTTAAAGAAAATAATTTTATACATGTCTACACAGCTGGCTGGATTATTGGGACTTTTAAACGATCCCCTTTGAAGTGGATCCAGAGACCTGTCCTGTACATAACAGCATTGTAGCAATAAACGTGATGTTTTATAACGACGCTCGGCCACCCCGATCCTTTCTGGTGTCGCATGCTTAGGAAGGAAAGTGGGGGGCAGGCAGGTCAGAAGTCTTGCCCGGAATTCTTGCCCCTGACATCACCCTCAGCGAGTGCAGCCAGGACTCTGGTGCACCCCGCGCACAGGGCTTCCTCACGGGGACTGCTGGCTTGAAATCCCGGAACACGGCTTCCAGGGCAGCAGCTAACCTGCATCTGTACCCAGGCCACCGGGAAGCAGGCTTGACTCCCGGGGAAAAGCGGCTTCCTGGGGGCAGCAGTGGGGAGCGTGGGAACGGTCCAGGACCTGCGGTCCTCCCAGCCCCGGGGGCTCCTGATGTCCCCATGTTGCCCCAGCCTGCTGGAACCTACTTCACTGCCCCTTAATGCGCTCGAGTCGGCAGAAGTCTGAGCCCGTCACTGCTTCTCTGGAACCTTCTATGACTCCCTGTTGCTAGCAGCATCGACTCCACACTGCCAAGCGGGGCGTCTGTGACTTCCTCCACACCGGACACCCGCAGAACCCATGGACAAGGCTCTCTTGGGGGAAGAGGTGTGGCAGGAGCTGCAGGGGTGCTGCTCATCCTAAAGTGCACGCTGGCATCTGCTGTTGTGCCAGGGGCTTCCCTGCTCCGTCTGTGTGCAAGGACACAGCTGGACTGTCCCACTCCTCTACAGGGTAGGGGGGAAGGAGGCCTTCCTGGGCACTTGAGGCGGGTGGGCCCAGGAGAGAGTGCTTTGGTGCACAAGTGCCTTAGGGAGGAGAAGGCGCAGTGGCTCACGCCTGTCATCCCAGCACTTCAGTGGGGTGAGGTGGGAGGATCGCCTGAGACCAGGAGTTCCAGTCCAGCCTGGACAACATAGTGAAACCCCATGTCTATTTAAGAGGAAGAGAGTGGCCAAGAGTTGGTGGAAGGTGCTGAGGGACCCCTGTCCGCCACTCACAGCAACCAGCTCACCTCTAAATTTCTATATTCGTGCTGGAAATAAAGTTTTGAAATACGCATCCAGGCCAAGCCGGGTGGCTCACGTCTGTAATCCCAGCACTTTCGGTCGCTGAGGTGGGCTGGCCCCAAGAGGACAGGGCAGGCTGAGCACACGAACTCATGGTGTCCATTCCTTATCACCAGGCCTGCAGGGCACGCTGGAGCCCGAGAGACAAATCACGCCCACTCCCCTCTCTAGGCTACTGGCCTTTCCGTTCATGCTGTCAAGGTGCCTGGGGGTCGGGCAGTCCAGGAGGGCTTCCTGAGGGAGGCAGCTCTTGAAAATGGTGGAAAAGGTGCAAAAGTGCAATGGCGGTGTCTGGGAATGTGCCCCTCTTCCTTCTGCCCACACTGGCCTGGTGTGCAGGCGGGAGGCTGGGAGCTGAGTGAGCATTTCTGATGCTGCGCCGGGCTGTGGGACAGCAGGGGAGGTCCGGACTGGAGAAAACGATCCCAAGCAAGCCTGGTGCAGTGGAAAGCAGGAACCAGAAGGACTTGCCTGCCATCAGCTAAGAGCATCCAGGACGTTGACCGTGCGAGGAGCCAGGCTTCCCTCTGCTGCCAGAATGAGGAATCACCCTGAAAAGAGATTTCCGACTAGGCTTCCAAGCAGCGGGCACCCCAGGATGCCCACACTGAGGCTCAGGGAAGCACTGCCGCTCGGCCGAAGTCCTACAGCGAGGCAGGGACGCCTGACGCCTCCAAAAGTGGGCTCCAATCCCAGCCCTTCCCCTCTGTGTGACTCTGGGCAACACCCATCCCCGTTGAACCTCAGTTTCCTTCATTGTAAATAACGTTCTAGCACATACTAGGGGCACAAAGTCACTGACCCGCAGCCCCGCGGCTGGGGGGCCACCCTGACCCCGGGAGCCCAGAAACACAATCGGCCACCAGAGCACGTGGTCAAACCTCCCGCCCTAACCCCGCCCACTTGGGGAGGGGCCACCGCGCTGTGGTCGTGCACCCCTCGCCGGAAGTTACTGTAAGTGGCTTCCGGGTTTGAGCGTGCAGGGCGGGTTTTTTTTGTTGTTGTTGTTCCAGCGCGCCTGCGCACCGCGGCCGCGCCTGCGCACCGTGCCCGGGTCGGCCGGACAGGGTCACCCTGAGGGTGCTACTCCGCCGCGATGTTGACCCGGTTCCTGGGCCCGCGCTACCGGGAGCTGGTCAAGAACTGGTGAGGACGCAGCCCCACCGCCCCACCCGCGTTCCCGCCCCGGCCCAGCCTCGCGCCGCTGTTGTGCCCGTTCTTGGGGGCCGGGCCCAGGTTCCCCTATTGTGCCCGCTGACAGAGGGGGAAACTGAGGCCGAGAGGCGGAGCATAGCGTCCGGGCGCGAACGGGACGTGGCGGACCCAAGGCAAAACCCCAGCATGCTCGGCTCCGCGACTAGGCAGCTCTGAGCCTCAGTTTCCCCATCCCTACCGGGGGATCCGAGTGGTGACCCCCTGGACCGAGACCCCCAGCACCTCAGAAGGCACTGAGGCCCGAACCCCAGCCCAGCACCCACGACATTTTCGACCTTTGCCATTATTTTGGTTATTATGATTTTTTAGCAAGTAGTGAGAGCTGCAGCTGCGCCTGATCCCACCTGGGCGGCGGGACGGCATGGGGGTGACCCCCATGGGAGCCAGGCTGGGGGTGGCCTCTGTAGGGTTGTCTGGTGTTTCCACGTGGGGTGCCAAGAAGCAAGACCTGGCCAGGTGCGGTGGCTCCCACCTTTTATCCCAGCGCTTGGAGAGGCTAAGGCGGGCAGATCACCTGAGGTCAGGAGTTCAAGACCAGCCTGGCCAACATGGGTCTTTACTTAAATTGCAAAAATTAGCCAGGCGTGCTGGCGGGTGCCTGTAATCCCAGCTACTCCGGAAGCTGAGGCGGGAGAATCACTGGAACCCAGGCGGCGGAGGCTGCAGTGAGCTGAGGTTGCTCCATTGCACTCCAGCCTGGGTGACAGAGCAAAACTCAGTCTCCAAAAGAAAAAAAGAATAAAAATAGCAGCAAGGCCTTACCCGGGCGCGGTGGCTCCCCCCTGTGATCCCAGCGATTTGGGAGGCCTGGGCTGGAGGATGATTTGAGCCTGGGAGTTGGAGACCAGCTTGGACAACACAATGAGCCCATCTTTACAAAACATTAAAAACCTATCGGGACACGTTGGTGCCTGCCTGTACTCCCAGCTACTGGGGAGGCTAAGGTGGGAGGGTCGCTTGAACCTTGGAGTTTGAGACCAGCCTGACCGTATCTCTACAAAAAAATTAAAGCTACAACCAAGCGAGGTGACTGGCGCCTGTAATCTCAGTACTTTGGGAGGCTGAGGTAGGTGGATCACCTGGGGTCAGGAGTTCCAGAGCATCCTGGCCAACACGGTGAAAGCCGGTCACTACTGAAAACACAAAAATGTGTGAAGCATGGTGACAGGCGCCTCTAATCCCAGCTACCTGGGAGGCTGAGGCAGGAGAATCTCTTGAACCTGGGGGATGGAGGTTGCAGTGAGCAGAGATCATGCTGCTGCACTGTCGTCTGGGTGACAGAGTGAGACTCCGTCTCAGAAAAATAAAAAAATAAAGCTGTTCTGGAGGTTGAGGTGCGAGGGGCCCTTGAGCCCGGCAGGTGAAGGCTGCAGTGAATGGTGACTGCATTGCCCTCCAGCCTGGGTGACAGAGCTAGGCCCCGTCTCAAAAAAAAGAGAAAAAAAACGGGCCAGGTGCGGTCACTCACTCCCGTAATCCCAGCACTTTGGAAGGCTGAGGTGGGTGGATCACCTGAAGTCAGGAGTTTGAGACCAGCCTGACCAGCATGGTGAAATCCCATCTCTACTAAAAATACAAAATTAGCCAGGCGTGGTGGTGTGTGCCTGTAATCCCAGCTACTCCAGAGGCTGAGGCAGGAGAATCACTTGAAGCTGGGAGGCGGAGGTTGCAGTGAGCCGAGATAGCGCCACTGCAGTCCAGCCTGGGCGACAGAGCAAGTCTCCTTCTCAAAAAAAAAAAAAACAAAAACCCAGAATGCCATCAAGACACAGGTGCAAAGATTCCTGCCCTGTTGGTGGTGTCTGCCTCCGAGCCAGGCTCCAGAAGCAGCTGTGTGTGCCGCCAGCAGGCGATCTCCACTCACTGCAACCTCCGCCTCCAACTCCAAGTGATTCTCCTGCCTCAGCCTCCCGAGTAGCTGGGATTACAGGTGCCTGCCAGCACGCGGGGCTAATTTTTCTATTTTTAGTAGAGATGGGGTTTCGCCATGTTGGTCAGGCTGGTCTTGAACTCCTGACCTCAAGTCATGTGCCCGCCTCGGCCTCCCAAAGTGCTGGGATTACAGGCGTGAGCCCAAGTGCTTGGAGTGTCTTTTCTCGCCTGACTTTGGAAGTGCGGCCCCAGGGCCTGTGCCGCTGCGCGATGGATGCCCAGGCCTGAGTCCGTAGAAGGGTGTGAACGCTTGCGGGAGGGATTGCTGGGCCCAGGCACCACAGGGAACGCTCATGGTGCCTGCCACGGTGGGCGAGGGCGTGGGCTTGGAACCAGAGGCCTTGAGCCTCAGCAGCTGTGTGGCCTCAGGTGAGGGCCTCGCCCCCTCTGTTGTTTGGAGTCCTCACCTGGGAAATGGGGACTCCGATCCTGGCACGTCCCGGAGTCCTGCAGCTGGGGCAGGGAAGGGTGAGTTCCTGCAGACTGCAGCAGACCGTGATGACACTCGGACTGGACCCACCATCGTGGTGGCTGCAAACTGACAAATACCTACACGTTCCCCAGGGCCAGCCTCCCCACAACAGCGCTCCCTCCCGCGGCCCCTCGAGCAATTCCTGGCCTGGCAGGAGCCTGGCTTACTGAGGGCCAGCAGTGTGGGCGAGGCCTGTGCTGCAGCACGGACACCAGGCCGGCGCCCCAGCTTCGCAGCTCAGTGCCGGGGCCCAGGTGTGGGGCAGGAGCCGCTCTTGGAGACAGCGTCTGGAGCAGGCCTGACCATCACCTCTCCTCTTGCAGGTGGCCCACGGCCTACACGTGGGGTGCTGTTGGCATCGTGGGGCTGG